ATAGGGTCGCTATGAGTTGCAAGCGACTTGATGGCACATAACAAGAAAACCAACTACTAGCTTTTAGAAGAAATTCCTGGATTTGGTTTATTCTCTGAGTTATTATCTTCTAAAGCTTACAACATAAAGTGTCATCTGGGAAAACTTAAAGGGTTGCTGTTGTTTTAATGTGCCATCGAGTTGGCATTGACTCATAGATGATATTTCAGAGAGTTTTTGGAGGCTGTAAATCACAGAGGAGAAAACTGTGTATCTTTGTCCTATTAGAGTAGCTGGTGGATTGCAACCTTGAGTTTTGGGGTACCCATTATGCCACCAGAGTGCCCTATTGAAAGGTCCAAAATATCACTAAATATAAATCAAAACAGTTTACATTTACTAAAATTTATAAATAGAATGCTTATCCTTAGACCTTCTCAAATTTAACTCCTGCTAAAATCTTTAATTTAAATTAGCAACTTCAGCAAGCAAGTCATCAGCACAAACATTAAGCCACTCATGGTCTTTCCTGGAGCAACAACCCTGAAGGAACGTCTTTACTGCAAAGAGAGTAAAGGGGTAAATAATAAATGAAAGAAGTACTAAACAGCTGGAACTCTTTGCTATCCGGGAATTAGAATAAATTCTGATGTTTTGAATTATTCAAGAATAGAAAAGAGGTTAAAAAGCTAATTCACAGTATTTACCAGTTTGCAATATAAGCAACTTGTCAACTATGTACCTAAATGGTATAGAAGGAAAATGTGCTGGCAAGAGACTTAATAGTAAGCTTTAAAAAGGTTAGATCAAAAGATGCTACAAAAGTTTTACTGACCGCTCCTCTCTGACCCGTGTCCTGGGGCACACTGTAGACATTTTATTAATGTGTCAGTTGTTGTTGGATGCCTTACACGTATGACTTACAGTGACCCTATAAACAACAGATCTGAATCCTGTCCTCTCCTGTGCCATCCTCACACTTCTTGACACACTAGAGCTCATTGTGGCACATGATTATAATTTACTTGAATCATGTGACTAAGTGATTGTTGGGCCCATCTGGCAAACCCTGGCTTTTGTGCAGAGAAAGCAAGTATAGGGCTTCCAGATGGAGAGAAGCATTAAGGA